GAAGAACTTGGAACTTGAGTGAAATTGCATACCCTGTTTATGACAAGAAGCTTGAAAAACCATATCCTGTTCAGCGGATCATCCCCGTATAGTCCATATATGGGAGTACCCCCCCGGGAGTAACGTTTAGTCAGAAATAAGGTATGACTTGGCTGAAAATTAATCAGCCTGTGATCATGATGTAGACGTTTCTATCATAAAAGTATGTACAAATGAAAGTGGGTATAGAAGGGGTGAGGCAAGAAATGTTGCATTGGTTGCAATGCTGAGATATGGTGACTGTAAGGGGGTGGGGTCAGGGGGCAAAGGCCAAATCCCCTGTAAGGATTAGACTATGACATATTTCTAACCTTTTACTTTACCAGAAGCCAATTCCTCTGCCAGTTTTGAACATTTTTTTCGATGTCCAGCCTTCCAATCAAAAACCTGGTGATCCCGACAGCAATAAGAAACAGCATGGCACTGAGAACACTTCTTATCTCCTAAACAACCACAAGTTTCGCAAAGACAAGCAAAATTACGAGGTCTAAATCGAGAGTCCAGGGTTTTTAGCGTCACAGTCTCTCCCTCAACGAATATTGGAGGAGCTGTAGAGCTATAAAACTTATTTTTTCGAGGAAGCTGATTTCGTAGAGCAAGAAAAGCTTCACTGGAGTCCTTCTTATGGCATTTTCCGTCTTTACAGCAGAAAACAAAGACAGTTCTGTGAAAACATCGTTCGTCTTCGTGAACCGGCGCATAAACTTGAAGCAAAAAAACCATTTGTTTTTTACAACTTTTGCAGCTTAAGAGCTGTAAAGGCGGCAGGTTTTCTAGGTCAAGCCATGATGGTTTCCCGCCGACTTTACTAGGGAAGAAAGGACTTGATAATGTTATGGAATTTTCTGGTTTTTCGACGAAACCCAACTCCACTTCCGAATCTTCGTCCGCCATCTTGAATTTACCAAAAAACACGTGGGTTTGCTACCACAGGAAGCCCAATATACCTCTGAGTTCAGACGCCGTGTCATTTCCTAGAGTATATCATTTCTTCTTCATCCCCAAAGCCTGCGTTTCTCTTGGTCAGCACCGAGGAACGCCAGAGAAAAGAAACTGTTCTTTGTTCATTGGTTGCACACGTGCACAAGAAGATACATGAATATGGAAACAACTCAATGAAATGTGGTCTGCAATGGAAAACCCATTCACTCTTTATTGGGAGGGTGGGGAAGGGGTTGTTATTCGCTTGCTAGCCAATACCTGGGTGACCCCATCGCCAAGATTGTTGCATAAAAAATGACCACTCCCTTGTGTTTTTCCTCACCCGTCCCCCACTACCCCTATTACTGAACTCTAAAGAACATTATATATGAAGTAAATGATAAATTTTAATGATCTTAATTTCAATTGAATTACATCTGTATCAGTATTATAAATTGTTGAATAGTTAAGTGTATTTATTCACAAGAAATGTGGCTGCATAAAGTTGGCCTGGTAAATTGCTTTCCATTTCAAACTACCAATTTCAAAAAATTGTTTGAATGTATGTAGCACTGAATGCTTGATGACTGAAATAATGCATGGCCAAATGGAAAACCTAATTAAAATATATCAAATGTCCACTGCTTGTAACTCCTGTCACAGGAGTGTTTTTAAACATTATATGACTTAAAGTCATCTCATTTTATCCCCATTGCCTTGGGCTGCCTGTGGTAACCAAAACAAGGCTCGACTCGTGCAGTTTAGAAGAAGTTTTTAAATAAATGTTGGTTTGTTCAAAGCCTATGAAGCTTCTCAGCTACACCACTAAAACATCAAATATAATAGGACATTTGCACGACGGCGTCATTTGACTCCCACTACCATAATGCTTCGCGAAATTTTTTTATTTTAAATTTGTATTCCCTCATGAGAATAGTAAGACAATTGGTGSTAATWAACTGAACAAAAGAAAGTGTGCAAGGGATTCTGGTAGTATAGGTCAATGACGCCATCGTGCAAAGGTCCTATTCTTGCAAATGTCTATGAGCAGATTCTTTTTGTATTTTTTTAGAAGGGTGACCGTACCTTGCACAAATACCACAGGTAACCCAACAACTGAAATTGATGGAAATTAAATTTGAGAGTGTTTAAGTAAGCCAAGTGAAGTTTATCTAGATAAATGTTTTCCATTTTATTATTATTTTTTCTTTACTCATGAATCCTACCTTGGACAATATCACCCATTACTGATGTATAGCCAGGCATTTTCATGTACTAGAAGTATACTTGGGGAGATTAAACAATCATCATTTGTCAATAATAGTCTTTTTAACTGAGAGCAGTTAAAATAATAATTACATACAAAACACCCTAATTGTGTAACTAAATGAGTAGTTATATTAATATTTCTATGTGCACTATATATAAAATGCAAAACTTTGAAACATATCAATGCCAGGATCTTAGAAAATTCTTGATTCATCTCTTGCACCATACCACACAAGGTATTGAGTAGATGTTTCTTTGAAATTGCATTTATTCAAAAGGTCATTTTGTCCTTATTCACCACCGTCGAATCCACCACCATCATCAAACCCACCGTCAAAGCCACCACCACCATCATAGCCGCCACCATCATAGCCGCCATCGTCATATCCACCACCATCATAGCCTCCACCATCATAGCCCCCACCATTAGGGTCAACCCCATAGTCAAACTCCTGTCCTTGTTGGTCTGGTGCTTCATGGAAATGTTCATGATGATGTACTTCTGTTGAATGGTGGTGGTCATGGAAACCGTGACCATGGTAACCATGGTAACCATGGTGATAGCCATAGTGAGGCCCATGCATAGCATTACTCATCATTGCTCCTGCTGCCATTCCAACCATAAAATCTCCAGCGGAGCTTCCACGGTCTTGCACAACCACCGCATTAGGTTGCTGAACATACCCTACAGTTTGTTGGGGGTAGGGTTGTCGGTAGCCAGGAGGTGGACCTCGTTGTTGTGGATACCGTGCTTGAGGATACTGTGGTCCTGATAAAATTATTCATACATCATGATATATTAAGTTAATTTTGTTTCGTTATTCAGCAGTACAAACAGTCAAAGTTAATATTAATGGAAGCAAAAAAGTGTAAGACAAATCAATAAAGGGAAATCAAGGGTGGTGTTGTGGTAGTCTATGTATCCCTCTCACCTCTGGGGTCTTAGGTTGGACTCCTGGACTTACCATCACAAGTCAGTAGAGTTTATAAGTGTAAGGTCTCTCCCTTGATTTTAGGGTTTTTCTTTTGGTTCTCTGACTTCCTCCCTACACAAAACCTAACAAGCTAAATTACAATTAGATCTGTGAGTTAGGGCAGTTAGCTGTGCTCCAACTTAGATCAACCTAGGTTGTTTCAGGTTGTTTTTATCGATAAAAAATTGAAGAAAAGGAGTCTCAATTATTGAAGAAAATCAATACAATAATAAATCGTATTTAGGACCACAAGACCAAATTTCTAACCTGGTGCTCCTGCGTAGTGTGTTGTGGTAGCTACTTGTTGTGGAGGATGGTGCTGTACTTGCTGAATTGGCTGTACATGTTGAACATGTACCTGAAAAGAGAGATTATAACCAAAAAAATCAACATCATTCAGTGCTCATATAAACTTACAAGTCATCGTATTTAATTGTAAATTCAAGTAAAAACATCGGGTCCAAAATATCTAAAATTACCTAAATTAAACGATCGATTTTACTTACTGGTTCAGAAGCAGAAGATCCACAGCCCATGTTCAGACGAAGACGAGATTGAAGAACAACTAGAAGACTTCAAATCTTAAACGTTTCGAATTCAATACGTAATTCCGGAATGGATCGACTAATAATTTGACGGCATGCCGTCCTGAGATGAAAAGTTTGGCTTTAAAAATAAGTATTTCTCTAGCATCAGTAGGTTTTTAGCTTAGTTTTAGAAAAGACTGAGGCATTTTCAATCGAAAATACGGCTAAAAACTGAAAGAATAAGGATTAATAAGATCCACCATATTGGATTGGTATATTTGCCTAACTAATTAATGTACGTAATGAGCACCTTGACAACCCAACAAACAAACACTGGCCTATAAAAATGGTCTCAATTAAATCGAAAGTAAAGAAAAGGTTTGCCTAAGTCTTCAAAGCATCAAAATAATAGTAGTAACTGTCAGAAATCTAATTTTCTTCGCTTTTTGGTAAATGTTTGAAAAGTCATTTCAAAAGTGTCTTGTGGGTTGCCTGTGGTTGTTAGGAAGGAGAACACCCTGGTAGAGGCTATTTCGCGAGACTCAAAACGACATCCCGAAAATGACGTCATCTTCGTGTTCCCGACGGACTCGTTCCGTCGTACCGACTCGTGACGTGACCAACAACAAACAAGATGGCTCTGTGCTTTTCTTAAAGCTTTTCTCTTCTTACATGAGGACTACCTCCAAGTTCCGTACAAAAATAAAGGTAAGATTTTAGGCAAAGTATTTTAACAGCAATTGTTTGCAAAATCGTAACAATGTTTTATTATTGTGTCATTTTGGTACTCACGAAATAGTTGTTTAAAACTTTGGACGTTACTTCGCGAGTTCCAAAATGACAGCGCATAATTATTGTGTCATTTTGGGACTCACGAAATAGTTGTTTTAAACTTTGGACGTTACTTCGCGAGTTCCAAAATGACAAGCTTTTTTAAGCTCAAATTTTCTCTTAAAATTCACAACTGTATGTCGAAACTATATCCTTTTAGACTTCTTTTTTTTTTTAATCGATTTACATCTATTTTCATAAACATACGACCTCGGTGCTCCTAGTTGCACGCTGAAATTTGTTTTTTTCGCTGCCGTCAATCAAACCTAATCAGTAATGTAGGCGCATAGGCTCGTAGGCATGTAGGCGCTTACAGGCTCCTATTCTTGTATGCCCGGAGTGGGAGAGTGGGGTACTCCCATAAATGGACTATACGGGGATGATGCGATGAAGAGGGTATGGTTTTTYGAGCTTCTTCTTTGATCCAGCCCCACCCCTCAGAAATTCAACATCCCTATGTGTGTGTGTGAGGAGAGGGGCATGGATAGTTTCTGGTACTACACAATGTTATTTTGTTAATTGTTCATCATGACTAATATCAAAACTACCTCATAGTCTGAAGTAGGGCAGGGCAGCCAAACCTTTTAGTATTTTGAACCAGAAATCTTCGCTTTTTAAATGAAAAATGATCACTATTGTCCTGCAAAAGTGTGGATAGATTTCTTTAGAGAGATAGTTAAGAGAGACATTGACTTGTTTCTAATCATAACTCAAGTACCTGCATCTTTTCAAGATATTGCCTTTTATCAGCCTTGTTTCTGTCAATACCATGATGACAATCATAGACCTTTTATGCCATTTATCACRGATGGTGTGCCATCAAACTCTATTCTGCTAGAAATTGTTGATTTAGCATCTTCAAAGAACAATTTATGTTTTTTCCGAACATCTGTTTTGGTTTTATTTTTATAAAAAAAAGATTTAATAAATATATTTCACATGTAGATAAATGAATAAATCACTCAATTAATTCTATTTTTATTACTTGTTACAGATAAATATTACTATCGACTATGTCTCATTTTCTCATTGGACTCTGAAGATGACTTACACTCAGGTTGTGGAATCGTCAGTCGCCACCTACTATAGTCTTTTTCAAGACTACACTCACCCGGACAATCACATTTCACACCAAATTCAACTCATTTCTTTCATTTTTCTCTTTCTGTTCTTTCACTTTTGGTGTAATGCAAATTCTTTTAGAATTTTTYATTTCATTTTCCAGGTTAAGCAACATGCTATTAACAAATACTACAGAATGTCTCTGTGATCCATGCCATTTGTATATGATGACATAACATCTTATAAAGAAAAAAAGTTAATACATATATACTATAAAAATCATTTATTACTACAGTAGTCATAGTTGTGACCTTATAAATTAGAATAATTGTTCTCTTGATTTTTTTCCGGGGACTCTGGGAGGAGGAGGGTAGAGGGAAGGAAAAATGATCATGAAGAGAGCTTAGTATTTTTTAATTAAAAATGCCAACATACCTTTTCTTGCAAAATTCTTGCAGTAGAACACACAGAATTTACTTGTTGTAGCAGTTTCAAATTGTCTAAGCACCTCTAAGGCTTCAAGCTCATTCGAAACATAACCAAAATCAGGGGCGGATCCAGGATTTTTTCAAAGGAGGGGGGGAGGGTTGTAGCATTGATTGAGGTGGTGGAGAGATATAGCAGACCAAAGGGTTAGGGAGAC